ATGTTAAAGGGCCTCTCCAGCCAAAATTTTTTTTTTTTATTGACCAAAAAGTTAGCATCTGGTGCGTGTATTATGGTAAAGTTGTTGTTTTTGCAAAACCGAGAAACCGAGAAGTGGGCGACCAAAAATAAATTGATGTTAGAGGGGAACGACTTTGTCGGTTTTATTTCACTGCGTTTGCACCCAGGGGCAGTAAAAGACAAGAAACTCGAAACTGGGCAAGGTTTTATAGCTCAAAATCCGTCCACAGAAAATATAATGAGCGTTTTGAAAAAAAACAAAAGAAAAATTTACTTGAGCAAACGAAAACTATATTTACAAAGAATTATTTCCAAACAAAAGAAATTAAAGCTTTGACAAAGTCAGAGTAAAGTCCAATTTTTAACATCACTTAAAAAGTTTGACTTCAAAGGTTACAAATCGTGATCCAAATGGTGGTCCAAAGACCAGAGAATCATTAATTATAAGAGGTTTCCAGGCCTAATACGAAATTCCACAAGTATTCGTTGGCCAAATGTATGGATCCATTTCAAGGAGGCTTTTTGCGGTTTCATAAGTTTGCGGCTACCCGTCAAATTATTGAAATTTGAAACTGTTAAAAGACGTTTTCTACTGTTATTTTTAAAACAAATGCTCTAAATAGATTGAAGTTTAGATTGGTGGTTGTTTTGCTTTCGACCAATTGCCGTTGGCCTTTTAAAAACAGAATTAATTTGCATAACAATAGCTTTCGATCATTCATGCGCCATTTCTTCTCCTTCGAGGTGATGCAATACTTTTGATACCCTAGTTTATATTGTACTTTTAATTACATTTGATGTAACTTTCAACAATCTCACTCTATCTTGATGATTATTTTGTGAAGTGAAGTATTTTTATGTTTCTAATGTTTAAAAGACAAGAACTGAAAAATAAAATAAAATGCAAAGGTTAGAGGCAAAATATGTACTATAGGTACAACTGCACTTTGACTACCCACTTCTTCGTCTCGTGGTCAGAAGTTGAATTGAATTACAAACTTTTCAATCTAGCCTGGTTTCTGAAACAATCGAACGTTGGAAGTTCAGCCAGTTAAAGGTAATGTGTCCAGCTATAGCAAGCGACTCTGCAGGGGTTTTTAGAAACATGTGATTTTTCATGTCATCGTCCCAGCCATTACAGTCATTCTGTTTATCTAACCTGCTGCGAGGTTAGCTTTTCATGTGAGCAGTTTTGCATCCCAAGAATACTAACCAATCGCAAGCCGTTATTTTGATGGGTGGCTTGACAAGTTGGGTATGCGCAGTCCTTTTATATGGACACCAGTGGCGTGGTGGCAGAGGGGGCCAGGGGAGCCATGCCCCCCCTAAATAGGGGCGCAAATGGAGATAAGAAGGCGCCAAAATTGTTTGCTTGTAATAATTGACTAGGAACATCAAAATTGATCGTACACGGGTAGAACACTTCGCTGTAACTTGCTGTGAACAATCTAATAAAACGTGTGATTCTACAATCGAAGCACGTTGCGCTGCCATGACCCAATCAATATTTGTGTCATATTTTTTCGTGTTTTCAAGATTTTACGTATGCCAAACATGTTTTCTATTAGTTTGCACTCCGAACGCAAAAAAGTCTGATGGTACGCCACAGATCTTCGGGCCTAAGTACATTGAATACCCCTGGCAATCAATACAGCAACTTCTTAGTTATTAACATCGTTGTGAACCAAAGGTCGCCATTTATTTCTTTATCCAACGCATGAGTCCTCCCCTCCCAAATTTTTTCTAAAAATCAAAAATCGATGTTTTTCTGAGCACCGTCGAGCTGTCTATTCTGAGCGGTGTAGTAATTTGTTAAATTTTAGCCTGGGAGATGCATTTTCCATCCTAGAAGGCTTGATTTCCAAAATTTTCTTTAGCGTCGGACCCAACCATGGTGGATCCTCCTTTGTAACTAAACTTGATCCTTAGCGCGCTGCCTCTGTCCGATTCAATAGTGTGATTCAATGCTTGAAACTTTCAAGTTTTTGAAAGACTACTACTATTTAAAAACTATTAAAGAATAACAAACTTGAGGCCATATTTGTATATCATACATCATGTATACGATGACACTAGGCTGATAAAATCGCCCACAAGCAGTGGCGAAATGGACTAAGGTTACTTTTGGTTAAAAAAACTAAGGAACCCGAAACAAAAGTTTGCTCTACGTTATTTTACTCTGAAGCTTGTATTCTGGATATAATAAACGAGTAGCCTGTATGAAACATTAGTGTAATTGAATATAATGTCTTTTGATTAGTATTTTATGTTATCCCTACAGTATTTTTTCCTCGAAAATAGGCCGACTGTGGAAAATAAGCCAATTCAAAGTAGCCTGATATTTTTCCGAACCACGATCGGAAGGTCAAGTGTTAGGGTTACATAAATTATCCATTCATATTCGTATTTTAAGTCAAAATATATTCATGCAACTTTGTATTCAAGTTGCAAAAATCGATTTCCCTTCTAGAAACACATGCTTTTACATAACCACGATATATAGATAGGGCGCAAAAATTGACTTGGCCACCCCAGGGAAAACATAGCCACCCCGCCACTGATGGACACATTACCTTTAAGGATTCACTCTCGTACAATTACAGCTGAACATCAGTTTCAATTTGGATGACTTCGTTCTTTGAATTATTTTGGTGTCTGTTTTGTTGAAACTTGTTTGCAGGAATCATTTTCACACAATCACGCCGTGAGAAATGCTGATCACAGGTCACGCGCGAATGTCTGTCTACTCAAGCATGCGTAACATATTTTTTACTATGCTTTTATTGCCTGGGCAATACTCTATCGATTCGACAGTTATTGGAGGAGGATGGCTTAAAATGCAAACCCGATCAACGTCAGTAGAACGTGGAATTCGACGGTTTTCGAACCTTTTGTCTAAGTTTCGAATCTTCCTTAGTTTCGAAAAAACTACAAGAAGTTGCCTGGTAGTGGTAGGATTAGATGTCTTTTCAATTCCAGAAGGATGAAAGCATGATCACTTGACGTTGCCCTTTCCAAAAGAAAATCTGAAACAAGAGCAGACGAGGCTGGTAGTATATTCGCTACAAGGTATGCTACATATGTTCGATTTGATTTCAAATAATGGTTGTAATTGCTCTAAGCATTTTGAATAGGTTGGTCCGGCTGCTAAGTCAATAGGATAAGGAATGCCTTAACGGAATAGCAAGGTTATGCTGGCCTATAAAGGTTATGCTTGTCAATTTTTTTAGAGATGCCCAAACGAATTCAATTCTTTAGATTCACGTTTGCATAGCAAAAAATTACAAAATGTTTACAAAATCAAACCCTTACGTTTCAAATAACGTAATCAGCGAAAACGTAACAATTTCATCAAGGTAATTTTTCTCAAGCTACTTTCAAAATTGCGTAGCCCTTAAGAAGAGGCGATTAACTTTTGCTATGAGAGAGCATTTTATTCTTATAAGGCTGGAAAATTTGTATTTTTTTACTATTTTAGTTATTTTTTTGCTTATGTTTCTAAATTAAGCTTCTCTTTACATGGCAGTATAATGTCTAATTACTTTATCGGTATGCCAACCAATTTTTTACCAATTTTGTAGGGAAAATTTCTTTCCACACCATAAAAGCTGCACCAAAAGGCAGCCAACAATTGATTCAATTTCAGGAAATCTACTCGCGTTTCTTCACAGAAAGCAATTTGCGAGCGCTTCTCGAAACTTAATTTTTGACTTTTAAGTACTTTCATGTTTACGTCTCAAAGGCTAAATAATTCTAACGGTTATGTTTTTCTTATTTTTTGTACACTCCCCTCACAAAAGTATTGCACCACCTTGTTCAAAATGGCGGCATTTTTTGTCAATATTTTTATAATACAAAACATTTGAATGCATGAATTGGGTGAAATAGGCATATTTTATATCAAATTTCGGCGGGAAAAGTTTGCAAATTTTGCTGACGCCATAGAAAACCTAGTTAGAAA